ATATGCCGAGGAAACTCAAATTTCACCAAGCTGAATAGCCGTATTGTAAGTGCTGTTGATTTTATTAAAAAATGAAACACGTTTTGCTTTTTTCTCAACAGCTAATCATGCGATCCCCAAACAACTCTTTCACAAATGAAATTACAGTGAAAAGTGAAAGTATCACCGAAAGATCATTTCATGTAAATTTACTTTTGACAAAACAGTCTTCCATAAGCGTTTTATGCGGGGTGTTTTTGATTTTCTCTCCTTGAGAAACTCGGAGAATTCGCATAATGGTCATTTAATTGTCTTATCGTTCCTTTTTCTTTACTTGCAAGCATGTTTGCGCGGATTTCTAATTATGTCGTGCCATAATCATCATCTTCAGCCTGGGCGATCGCAAAATTACCGTGTAGCTTCACTTCGGAACTTCTTCCTTCCTTTCACAGCTCAAAATATTAAAGCAATACTTCATACGTGTGAATATTTTCTGTATAATCTCCTGTTTCCACAACTTCGAGTTATCATCCTTTGAGACCTCTGTTTATTAGCATCATCGTCCTTCTAACGCTTCGAGGTTTTCGTTGCAAAGCGCAGCGATCCTCCATCCAAGATGAAGTTTTCTCCTTCTTCGATTCTGGTTTGAGAGATTCTCGCCATTTCTGAAAGCCGTAAATCAAGTCAATGGCGAGAAACAGATAAAGTAAACAGACCAGCGCAATTGCAACATCCATCGAGACGGCTTCGTTGGTCGTTTGTTCCGGTGTTCAGTATCGCTTCTGCAGTAAATTAATTTTTTGTTTCCTTTGCATAAAATATGTATACGTAGTTCGCGGCAAGGCGCGATGGTGGAGTTTGTCTTATACCTAGAAGTCTCAATTTTAAGTTGATCGTCAAACTATAATATTTATGAACACCAAAATATTATGTTTCTCTTTTTGTGAATATATAGACTCGATCAAAAATCCCGCGAGACAATTTCATGTAAATGCGTGCTCACATCCTGTCTGTAACCGAAACGATTTTATCGCAAATAGCTTGTTGCTGATGGTTATCATAACAGAGCTCTCACACAACCACGGGTTAAATTGAAATCCATTGTTACCATAACAGAGATAGGGTTCTCAGCATTGTCCTCATTCAGATTCAAATACACAGAGTCGAAACGAAAATTCATTTCGGAAGTCGCGGCTACATCTGACCGTGAAACAGCTGGCTTTTCCTTTTTTTCTTCTTCTTCTTCTTCTTCTTCTTCTTCTCCTTCTTTTGTGTTTTCCTAATATATAGATTCAAAAATTAGCAATCATATTTTTGTACAAAACACATTTCCTCGTCGATTCCCTATCAAATCTCTTAAGGAACACGTTCCAACTAGTTCTCTCAGATTGCCTTTCGGATTTCTTTTCCAGATTCAGGCCAGATTTGATAGTGTGTTGCTCCATTACACAATCTTTTGTTGGCTAAATTTTTCTTCTGAACACAAACTCTGCAGCTTAATGACCATTCGTGGATATAGGATGATAAATTAGTGCATTGATGGTGTAAATGTAACATGATGCGCTGTCGTTCGCGGTCTGTTTACCAGTAATTCACGATTGAACTCTTAGTGGTAGGCAGTAACTTAGTTTTTCATCATCAGTTTCAATTCAGAACAAGTTGAATTAAAATTATTCAATGCCAAAAAGGTGAACAACTGAACAGACTCCCTGAAAAGAGAAAAAAAGTTTAAGAGTACTTTCTAGGGAAATTTTTTAAATTTGGAGTGTATTGTCTGTTATTCATTAATTCATGCTGAACCTTTCTGGTAAAGCGAGGTACCAAAGGTATGATTTTCACAGATTGGCTGAGAGAAGAAATCTGATATCTCCCAGAACAAAAAAAGTTACATAGCCGAAGTACGTACTTAGAAAAGAGTATCTGATGGTCAGAAAAACAAAACGAAGAAGAGATTTTACTCTTAGAAAACATCTTAGTCCAAGTGCATTTAACTCAAAATCTGAGAGGAAAGAAAATTTCAACTTGTTGTCAGACATATGTGAGAAGTATAAGATAACAAATCAGTTCAGTTCATCGAGGAGATAACTAAGTATAGTGGTTTAAAAGCTATTAAAACTCGGCTCCGACAGTTTTTTTCTCAGTTCATTATTTCGGCGTACAATGTGCTTATTTTGACTGCTTTAACTTCAGAATCGTATTTATGTCTTCTAGTGAAAATTGATATTGATTTAGAAGTCAATTTACGATGAGACAAAAGTATTTTGTATTCGTGACCGCTAATTAATTAAGTTATAACTGTTTTGCATAGGTACTAAAATTGTGCGGGTACTAAGATGGTACTTTCACAAATTGAGAGTATTCGAACTGATTTCCCTCTCTCATATCCAGCGTTGTCGAAAAAGCATGTTTAAAGCGTTATTTTACAAGCTACTGGAGCCCCACCCATCGCAACCTCATTAAGCCCGCGATAACGATAGCGGTTACTACCCTTGCTTTTTTGACCTTTTCAATCTGGTGTGGAAAAAGTCCTGATTAGATCAACCTTTAAGAGGTATTTCACCCAAAAGGCCACGGAAAAAATTCCACCTAATCAACCAACTCAAAAGAATTTGGTCTTAATTGAAAACATGATCTTGGTTTTGCCTGCTAGCATTATTACGTTGTTTTCACGAAGAAATCTGGCTAACCTGTGCGGCCAGATTTATGAGTGCTTTGGCCAGTAGAAAAACTTTATTTTCTGCCTACTAAGACAAACTACGTAAATCCTAAAAAGTGGTTCATGAAATTACTCTCCATCTTTTTTTGCTGGTATGGAAAAGAGGGGTTTGAAAAAAAAAACTCTAGCGGTCGAGAATTTATCGAACTGTTCGATGAATAAATAACTAAGGTAATCGCCTATAGCCTGGAGTTCGGCTAATTTGAGCAATGTTTGGTTGATAGGTTTGTGTGACTAAGTGACATCAATTGAAGCCTGGTGTCAATATCAGCTGTATACTAATTATTTGTCTTAGTTTTCTAGCTCAAAATGAGTCACTTTCACGTTGTAGTAATAAGGAAATGTGTTCAGCTGTTTTTACGACGGTTAACCATTCAGTAAATTTCAAATCGTGCGTAAAAGAGAACCATAGATTAAGAGGAGATAAGGCCATAGCACTTACTGGGAGTGAGAAAATGATTTATACACGAGACCACATCTATCAAAGGTGTACATTCCACGAACTGTAAGGTTAGAATGCGACACATGGTAAGAGGCATCTTTAAAATTTGTACAAAATTCGGAAGCTCAATAATTATTCCCCCCTTCCGTTATAAAACCTAAATAAGGCAACTTTTCGCAATGTAATTAGTGATAAAAATTAGCTAGTACCGCGTACGCGGCCGAAACCATCTTGTCTCCATTATAAGTAAAAGTGACGGTTGTTAGTCTATGACTGATTGCATAAGGATATATATATATATATATGTATGCATTTATTAAGTGTTTTAGAATCTTGATTGAATTTCTCATGTGTTCAGAAATAAGCATAATCTATGATGTATAAAGTTACAACTGAAAAGTTTTACTGACGTCGCCAAAAGCTCCTGGGCCAAAAACAGGGTGGTATTGTAAATCACCAGTGAATTTGTGTTGATGTAAAAAACCCGCAGATGAATAGCTTAACTTTGTATTCTTTGAATTGTGTAAATCTGCGGGAAATTTGAATCTATTTGTGTTTTATGCGATTATTAGTTTAACAGTAGGTGGCTTCAAAGCGTTTTAATCTCCAAAATTCAATTTTGAGGTTCAGCTAGCAGTACACCGGCCGATATGATTGCACATAGAAGGCTATAATCCTTGCTTACTGTTTACCGATGTACAGCAACAAATTCGATCGTGAGTTTGTTTGTACCTGATCGTGTAATCACCAGATCACAGAAATTGCCATATTCCTTTGGACTTAAGACCGTTAGTTCAATCTTTTCCTTCACGTGGGCATTCAGTGACAATTTTGTTTGAGTCGGACGGTGGACTTTCATGATTCGACAGTTATTTGAAAACTTGAAAACTACGATTTAACTGGTAAGTTTTAATCATGAAACATCTCCAAAGTAGCCGCCACTTCTCGCTTCTCCGTTAGGGAATAAATTACTACCCAGAGGCAGGTGTAACGTGGTAAGCTCTAGCGACCATAGCACAAGTATTTGCTAGCACTTCTGTTTTGGGGTTAACATCAGAAAAAGGGTAATTTTATCACTTTCTTCCTACTTTTTTCGCTGGAAGAAATATGGTCCATTAAATTTGTCTCTACTAATGTTGTCTTCCTGAATTAGAAATCACAAGTTATCTTGAATTTTAGACCAACACAGTGGGTATTTTATTATCTGTGACATTTTCTTACACTCACAACAAGAGATTGATCGATTACTGGGCAGAGTAATTTTTCTTATTTAAAACTTAACGGCGGCATTCGTGCTTGATTTTCTCCTGCGCTTTCAAGGCTGACATATACACAAGGTGTGTTGTTCTCTGCATAAGCAAACAAACTACATGCATTCCTTTCTTCCGAAAGGCTCCAGTTAAGGCAATTTCTCCGACTTCGTTTTCATTTGTCTGCTGTGTCATACCTAGCAGCCAGAGATGTTGCCGCCTCGGTGATTTTTCTTTGATTAATTCGATTCCTTTCTTAAAGTTTCTTGTGCAGAGCTTTGTCTAGACTCCTGTAGTTGAGTACAGCTCATCACTGATTGAATTCAGTGATTTTTTAGGATGCTTTCGCGCGTTCACGAAACGAAGACCAGAGCGCGAAATGGCTTCATTTCCTTTACTTTAGCTTCAGTCTTAACGATAAATCAAACTATTTGGAGGTTAGACTGGATAGAAGTAATTTAGGATTTAGCGGCTGAAAAATTTGAGAACGAGTTATGTTTTCAGTATCGCGGCGTGCTTTCATCTTTCGAGCATCTAAAAGGGTCTTGTTTATAAACTAACGTTATATGATTTAATTTCTCAGTTACTGGTTTTAAAAGGAATTAGTTCGGAATTAGTTGGTATATCGTTATTTCAGTAGGCCTTTAAGGCAGAAGTAAATCTCAGTGAAACAAAAAAATATCGATCAAATATTCATTCGTTCATAAGTGTTTTTAACGTTCTGAAAATATCTTGACGAACAAACCCAATTATTACTACTGAAACGAGAGTAGAAAGAAAAACATCAATGAAGAGTGGAATCGAATTAAAAAGTGCAAATAAACAATCAAATTTGATAAAGTATCTCTTCGTTTCTTAAAGCCAAGTTTTTTGGGCCAATCTTTCAACAAACATCAGGGACTTTGATACTGCATCAATATCTTTTGTCCTGATTAAAGTGATATATATTTACATTTCGTAGAGAGAGATATTTACATTTTCATTTCACACCTGCAGAGTTTATATCCAGTTGTCTGTTCTTCGCGCATGAGTGGCTCTGATTCTCAGCTTATCAAATTGGATCTTCGTTGTTTCTCCCTGTTCAAGAACACCGCTAGATCAAAGACTTTGCCGCCAATTTTAGCTTTAAATAATCAATTTTATTTTTCTTACCAGTCCACAAATTAAAAAAATCCTGATACAATTCTCTTTTGTATCAAACGTCGCCCTTTGTAAAAAGTGATTGTTTGCAGTTTTCTCTTTCTAATGCCTTTTAATTTTGTCGTAGCAACGCTTATTAAGTAGAGCTCATTTTATTGTAGAAATGTGTTACCACTTTTTCCTCTCGCGTTGAAGCGATTTTTGCATATGATGCGGGAACACCTGGTTTCACCTTCAACCGAAAAAAACAGCCTTTTGGTTGAAATACAAAAAGTTGTAAATGCTTTAAAAATCAATTTAGAATTTCCTCCATTTATCCCTCCCGAGTCATACCAAAACTCCTTTGTAATCAGTTGTAATTGTACTGGTATATAGTTTTCAGTAAATTGTGTCCGTAAGCAAGCTACATTACTTATTAATGAATTATTTTTCTTATTTAATCCAATATTCGTTAAGGTGGCTATTGTTAAGCTGATATATTCCCTTGTAAGTTGTTTATTACATCCGCAAGGCAAATCTGCAGGGTGATATCATATGGCAAATATCCAGTCAGAAAGCTAAACTCATAGTTTTCGATGGTTTGGCAATTTACCGATCTGCTCTTTTTCAGTAATACTTGACTTAAAAAGTGGCATCATTCGTTTTCCGTGACAATATTAACCTCTACCTTAATGTTACCGTGGAGCCAATGACTGTAATGAAGATTATCATTATGGTGACGGCGGAAATTGATCTACTCACGTCACTGTCAAATATGTAATCTCGCCCCCTTTCTTCAGCAATTTCCGCCGAGGTCAGGGGTAGAAGTAAATATTCCGGCTTTCAAGGGCCAGCCAGCTAAACTTGGTGCTCTTACCGGTCAAACTACCTTCCCACAGATCTTATAACTGTCGGACAAAACTGAGAATGACGAGCTGATCTGCTTGGCGCTTAAAAGGGACAGTCCAAAGACGCCGCAAAATTAACCTTTTTAGCGTACGCGAGATATTCCGGCCATCGTGAGTGAATTTCAAATTTCGCATGACTCTTCATATCTATCGTAAAGGTAAATATTTTTGCTGTAAGAATGTTAACTCACCCAGGTAATGGAAAATGTAAGATTGCATCCTTCATCCGAGAGAGGTTTTGTGATAACTCTGAGTTTGCTTAACAGCCGTCGTCGGGAAAATCTACTAATATTTTCACTAGATTAGCAACGTAAACAGAAGAAAATAGGTATCAATGCTGAAATCAATGAAGATCCAATGCCATGAATTCCATTGGCCCAAAACCTTTATTCAGTTTAAAGAGTAAATCACGACCTAAAAACGGCAGCCACAGTGTGGAAGATGCTTGACTATAGGATGTGACCTATTCATGATGAAAAACGAATCGCAACCTTTATCATACCTCAGAGTAGGTTTGTCGGTTTTTCAGTTTATTATTAAGTTCCATTTTACCTGTTGATGACGTGCTACCAGCTCACCGTTGGCTATCAACGTACCCAACGTGAATGAATTTCGACGACATTAACAAACAGACTTCCTCACATGAGGAGGTCTGTTCATTAATGGCGTCGAGACTTATTCACGTTGGGTACACTGATGGCCAACGGTGAGCTGGCAGCACGTCATCAACTTGACTCAAGCAAGTTGTAAAGCTTTTGCTGATCGTTATTACTTTGCTGTCTTTGTACTTTAAGGTTGTTTTCCATTCGCAAGTTTGGTGAAATAAGACTGAAGAGAACTTGAGGCTTTCAATAGCAGTTGAGCGAAGGTGTTGACGTTCTCTGCTGCGATTTAGAAAAGTGCAAATTAGAAGACGTTGTGAGGGCCAAATATTGCGATTCATCGATTAAAGAGGATCATTTTGATCTTCGATAGTTTAAAGCGGCCACGTGATGAGCTATCTCTGATAGCTATTTTTCTTCTAAGATTGTACGACTTATTCTAACCCAGTAATCAGAAGGCGAAGCCTTAATAAATTGGTGAAGGGGGTAAGTTTCTAAAGAAACTCTGGTACTACTTCGGTGGGAGAGTATAACAGGGGAGTTTAGTATTATCAACTGAGTTGATAACGTACACTGGCCACCTTAAAGAGTTGATCGTTTCGAGCGTTAGCCCTTCGTCAGACTATACTGAGGTGGTAAGTTTAGCGGGTTACGCGGGTGAGAGACGAAAAAACTCGATATCGATATTTTGAAGAAAAAAAAAGCCATGTCGTCGAGAGAACTCAAGAAAATGTTTTTCGAGCTAAAGATGGATGGTCAAGATGAACTAAATGTAAATTGCGTTTATTACTTTCGGCCCACTGGTAAATTAAACGATAGGTTATTGACCAATTAGAGAGCATGACTATCAATAATTCGTCTTTCTTGATCCTTCTCTATTATTAGCACTGAGTTTCGCTGACTTGGGATTTAAATCACGGATCAATGGAAAACTCCACAAATGTTACGCAAAGAGCTCCTGCTGATGCTCTTCAGATCGAGCCAAGCTGGGTTTATACTGGAGTTGGAATATATTCTGCTCTCGTAATCCTCATTGTTGCGGGTTAGTATTAGTGAATGATTTTAAACGCGTTTATAATAACATGACTGGTTCTCACGTTTCTAAACGAGACTGAAAAATAGATGCGTTGCATTAAACTTAGTTAGATCTTAGAACACGACGAATGTTTCAGGCTTAGTTTGATCTCTTTTCAAATCCTGCTTCAGCAGACATTGATATTGTGCTCTGGTTGAAATCAGACAAAAGAGCAGGGACATTATTTAAATTGTAAGGCCCCAGCGCCGGCTAATGCGTTTAAAGAACCCCACACGTGGGCTTCCATTTAGGTTAACTTTGTGAAATACATCGTCAGCTAAAGACGTATGTACACAAAAACATTAGAGATGACTTTGCTTATTGCTACTGTGGTGCGTGACTTGAATATTCTATTGTTTAGCTCGCCTAAGGTATTTTACATTATGCCTTTTATAAACAAAAAATCCGGTGAAGGGGGCATATTAACTGTTGAACTGACCTCGCTCGCGAATTCCGTTCTTTTGTCCCATATAAACAGAATAAAAGAGGAAAGTCGTTTACTTTGTTTTTAAGATCGTCATCTTTTTCACTGATACGTAACCTTGGTAACCAAAACCCTCGTGGAGAAAATTTGTTCTTTATGGTTTTAGATGATGCGCTGAATTACAAACGCATTTGATCGGTTCTTAGTCATGATATATTGGAGGACAGACGCATAGATGACAATACCTTTCACAAAATTTCCCTTTTTATCATATATGTAGATTCTATTTTGCCGTGGGTCTGTAAAGTAATGGATCACAGGTGACTAAAAAATGTGGTAAGAACATCAGTGACACAGATATCCCCTCATGTGCCGCTTTTTTGTCCTTACCACATTTTGACGTCATCTATAATCCATTACTGAAAAGACATACGGCAACTTGGAATCTCTTTGTTCATCCTATAAACTCTCAAGATCTGATTGTTGATTCTCCCCTCCAGCTGCTACACATGTCTTTGGAAATTAGTATTGAGAATTTTGTGTTAGATCAAGATAACAACTTCGAACCTGATGAGTTTGAGTTTTCTTATAACCTGTTTGTTGGATGAGGTGAGGATATTATAGGGAGAAGTTACATTTTAAACACTTCTGGGAGTTAAAGGGTTAACTGATATTGGTTTAACCCTTTAACTCCCACAAGTGATCAACATGAAACTTCTCCCTACAAGATCATTACATTATCCAACAAACAGGTAATGAGAATATTCAAACTTATCAGGTAGAAGTTTTTGTCTTGATCTTATACCAAATTCTCATAACAAATTTAAGAGGATAAGTGTGGCAGTTGGAGGAGAGAATCGACAATCAGACCTTAGGAGTTAAAGGGTTAAAGGTATTTTTTAACAGGTTTCTTTTGGGTGGAATTGTAAAATAGCGACTTAAGCGTGGCTGGTGCTGTTCGGAAACTCAGTAACTAACTGTAGATAGCTTGGCTGTTAGCTGGCCTCATTTTAATATTAATTTTTTTTGCGATCAACTAGTGATAATTTTGGCTTTGGTTTCGCGATACACAATCGAAATCCACTCTAATCGACGGAAGCCCTCTTATTTTAATGCCGCCTCACCAGTTATTCATAATCGAAATTATTCATGACTAGTGAGGCGGCAAATTTGAAAGCGATTTCGCTCAAAATTAAGGAATAATAGGCCATTTTCGTTTTGAAAATTGGTGAACAGGAACCACTATCCTTTTCAGTTTGAAAATTGCCAGTGGAAGATGTGTTCAAAAATGGCGCCATGGAACTGTTTTCACGAAGAGGGAGAACTTTTTCAGTACTAACAATTTAACATCGTTTTTTCTTCTTTTTTCAGGGAATTTGTTGATCATCATCGCCTTCCTTACCACCCCCAAGCTTAAAACGAAAACCAACTACTTCATATTCTCCCTAGCTGTGGCAGATCTTTTGGTTGGGTTATTTTCTGTTCCCCTATGGATATATTTCATTGTCACGTTTGACTTCAAGAACGATTTGTATAAGTATTACCAATTGGGTGACATTGTATCGGGTGTGTCGTCTATTCTGCACTTGACGTGTATTAGTATAGAGCGGTGTTATGCTATAGTCGCACCCTTAAAACACAGGAAGATCAGTAAAGGTATGCAAAAACTTCTTCCTTTCAACACACTTTCTTCCTCACTTTTTATGTCTTCCTGTCTTTGCTCTTCCTCCGGCCTTTCTCTCGATCCTATCAATCCTTCACTCGTCAATTCCCTACGTCTTTCCAAACCCTTGCCTTAATCTTTTTCCTTCATCGTATTACTTTTCGTTTTCTAGTGCATATAGTCCATACAACAGCTTAATATCCAATTGCTCTGTTTTCCTTGCAGCTAAAATTTTCGCCGGTATCGTGCTTTCATGGCTGCTTGCCATTTTCAACGCCTTATTGAGAAAGCTTTCCGGCTGGAAAGATGTCGCCATATTCAACACGTTTACTTTCTTCTTCGTTCCGTCGCTGTTGATAGTTGCTGCTTACATAGCTATCTTCTTTGTGGCCAAAAGGAGCTTGAAAGAACATAGTAGACGTTCCCTAAAGAAGGTATATTCATAACCAAACATTAACTGAGTAAATTAGGGTGAAGTTTGAAGATTAGAGAATCCATCATGCTGAGCCAATCCAGCTAGGTTTGCCCGGTAAAGTAAAAGGGGAGAACACGAAGCAGTTCAACCCCACTAGATCTCCGATTCGCAGTGCCAAGACCCCTGCTGATCGTGATGGTTCGGTTAGTATGTATTTGAGGACGTTCTGGCTCTTAAAAATAAGGGTTGAATACAGTTTCCGTTATCTTGGCATACTGTGCCAGCTCGGTTAGAAATTAAAAAACAACGAATTAACATCTATACCCCGCACTCGCTACAACTCTTTTTCGTAACCAGCAGCAATCGCAAGCAACAATATAAATTGCTTGGGATTTTAAAGCTTTTCGAGAAGTCGAAGAGTATTATACGGTCAACGCGCAAATTGTATTTCAAGTGTCTTACCTCTGACTCTCGAAAGGATCTCTTCCCTGTATCTCCAGGATGTAAGTGTTCTTGAGTTTGATTTTGAACAGCTTGCTTTCCTTTTTTTTTTGTAGGACCTTCATGTTGCCTATACTGTTGCCTTAGTAACCGGCGTTTTTGCCATCTGCTGGCTTCCATTTTTTTCGGCGATCTTGATCTACAAATGGTGCGCTGCTTGCACATTCGTATGGGACATGCGCGTCCTGATGGCAGTGAAAGTACTACACTTTGGTAACTCTGCTATGAACCCCATCATCTACTCGGTCAGAAATCGGAGGTTTAACAAAGCTTTCAAAGGGCTTTTGCTGCGTTTGGTCTGTCGTAGACTGGATACATCCTACGCCGGCATGAACAACTCCACTCAGGCGACTCAGCGCACCCGCCTGACTATGACAATGATGGATAAATCTGTGAAGCTTTCTCCCCAAAACAGGAGTCATTCAGATGACACGTGCACGACTAAACTTACCTAACCTCAGCCACTGGAAAGTAGCTTCTGGGAAACAACTGAGAGAGAAAAAACATAGTTATCTGTGGCGTTACATGGTTCCTCAGACGATTTCAGAATTAGAGGAACACAAGTAAAACATTCAGACAACACGAGGACAGATTATGTCTCACATACTTGTTTAACGCTCCTTGGAGAATCACTGCATCCAGAAGTTCTAGTCGTGTTTGTCCTGAGGAGAAAGTTATTCAATATGTACTGAAAAATTGCTTCATCTTCTGAATATCTTTCCTTGTTGTCTTGGCAATGTTGAAATGTATTATTGGCGTTTTATGTGGTTAAAGAGGAACATGACATCTTTTCGTTTTTGGTTGTTCGGTATGCCCCACCCAGTCTTCAAGGTTCTGTGTTGTGCTTAGTGGGCTCAGCTAAACCTCCCTTTATCAAAAAGTATGTTTTGTAAAACGCTTTTCAAGGATGATCTGATGCATAATGTTCTATTGGCGTCACGGCTTTTTTTTCTTGGTCTAGGTTTGTTTGGGCGCTGCCCTTTCTCTCGTATAAAGAGAGGATAACTGAAACAGGGTTCTACTTGAAATTTGTACATAGAACTATTAAAGGGTGGAACAAGTTTTCAGTTATGTATAGTTAAAAAAAATTGAAGTAACCACTACGATTTTCTTAGGTGTTTTAAAGCAAGACTAACGCATTCTGTCCTTCTCAAATATTCTTATTGTGATACGTCGTATAATGTGCGTATACTGGTGCAACAAGTCTCGAAAAATACTGGTTGTCGTTAGCTTAATTTTGCCTTATTTTAAGTTTCTAAAACATTGAGCAAGAAATCGGAAGAGGAGGGAAGAGTAACTAATGAGAGTATTTTGAAAACGTCTTATTCTAATGGGTGGGTTGGCGTTAGTATCCGGATGGGAGAAATCTAAATTATGCCCCGATTTTTGGAAGTTGACATTTTGACTTGAGAACTTTAAATAGTCGCCTTCTGATCTGGTGAAGGACTATTTTTTTTCGGCTAGAAGTAGGTGTCTGGTGTGAAAGGGGATTCCATGATAAATATGGTTGAATGTATAATGATCTAATTATTTTACAATTGTACTACTGACGTAGTGTGAGACCATATACGAAACGATGTGTTGTCCAAAGCTAGGAACACTCACTAAACTGTCAAATTAATTCTGTTTTTGAACAAACAGATAGATAAGCTATGCCCTAAAAACTAACTTACCTAAAAAAACCGAAAATGTTATATGCAATAGACAGTTCCTTCCCAATCTTTCTCATTTTTTTTCGACTTGGAAAGTACCACGAACTAATGGACATAATAATAAATATTCTCCCACGCCTCCCTCACAAAAAATTACCCATTCTTGGAACTAATGATTACATTGTGGGTTCGTTTTGGGATAATGGCCAACAGTGTTAAAGCTTTTGATAGCCAATTTTCAATAGCCAGTTCTTTAGTCAATCATAGTTTGTCACCCGCACGTCAAGTAGAGTACCAAGAACCAATTGATGTGGCAATAAAAACTTTTTCCTACGCCTCCCTCACGAAAAATCACCCGTGTTTGGAGCTAACGATTACACTGTAAGTTCGTTTTGGATAATGACCAACAGTTTTAAAGCTTTTGAAAGCCGATTTTCTACGAAAGGTTCTATATTCAATCATAGTCTGTCATCCGCACGTCAACTCAGAAAAACGAGGACAAAACAAGCTCGACAGCTTTCGTTGCTTCTTCCGTGGTAACCTCAGTTCATCGTTTAAACAGCTGACTTCACTTTGTTTCTATTACTAAACCACTTTTATTTGTTTTGCGGTGAACGGGAAACTACCAAAGGTTTGTAAATCGGAAAATATAAGCTTGGCACGCGATTTGAATTGTAGATTCCACTACCTGACTGGGTTTACACGAACGACGAAAGGGACAACTTGACTACCATGGAATACACGTGGCAGGTATTACTCCTTTTTAATGTTCACAATTTTTTTTTCATCTGCATTAGTAGCATTGTGCTAGTCGACCACTTTAATTAAAAACTGTGATTAACACTGAACTATGAATAGGTCTTGAAGGAGGACTTGAAGAACTGAAGTAATTTTGATTGTGCTCTGGCACTGCCTTGAAACGGATCTAAACAGAGTGTACCTATTCATTACAGATTATCATACCCAAAACAGGATAAGCTTTGTTAGTTTTTGTTACTTCAGTTTTGAGGGCTGTTCAGGTTTTAAGATTGTTTTCAGCTTATGAAAAAAATAACTTTTTAATCGTTTGGATATTCAACGACCTTTTTGTCCATTAATTGGAAATAAACCTCTACTCACGGACAATGCAGCTTACATCTTACGAAAGTTACCAAAAAATGGCTAACAATTTGTTATCCTGGAGAAAACCCCACAATAATTTATAAAATTTAAACGTCAGTTCAGAAAACATGAAAAGTAGGGGTACAGAATTTCTAGAGTTGACTCATCAACAATTGATAAATCAGTGAAGCTATCTCCATTTGAATAGTGTTTGTAAGAACACAACATTTTTGACCGTTTATTTCACCGGTTACATCAACAAGTTGAAAAAACAATTCACGACTGAGATCAGACATTTTGAGTAAATGTTGCGTAAAGAGTTTTGGTTTTTGCAAATTGAATGGGAAATTATGAATTACAATTGGCAAGAACATCAAAAATTTATCAGTCTTCGTGCTTGTCTTTATTTTAACTCTAGCGTAACCCATCGCCTACGTGCAAAGAGCTTTTTATTGTGCAATGTGGGTTCATGCCCAGCCGGGCTTCTGTTCGATGTCGTTCTCCAAACCTTTGGTAAGGATGCTCGTCATCTTGCTCAAGGGTGCAAATCTCGGAATTTGTTCTAAGAGTGTGCAAAACGAAACTTTTAAGCTGTCTTAAGTACGGTTGCAAACGAAAAGGTGTCATAGACGCTAACTTTATTTTTCGGAGTGAGTCGAAGAGAGCTTGCTGTTAGCAGGCGAAATGTAGGTGACACTTTTCAGACGACGGTAGCTCTTTCTTGTCTTCCATTTGAAAAGACCGTGCGTAAGGGATCAATCCATGATGATGGTAAGCCCAGACCTTCGATATGGGTACGATCGACATAAAAACCGAACTCAACCACAGAATTCTTAGAAAAAAACACGAATTTAACTCAAATCTCATACTAGATAGGAAGATAACGTTTATTTGCACATTTAGGATTATAGTGAGCAATCAGGGGCTACTAAACATTCAAGTATGGTTCTTAAATAAAAAAGTCTCCTCGCTAATCAAACTTGGGCTGCCTTTTCTCTCGGGAATTCCCTACACTCGACCAAAACATGTCACTTTATCGGACCTTATCACTGCGTTACGAAATTTTATCTGTTCATCGTTCCTGACAAGAAATGAGTAAACAAGATGGCAACTTACTGTTGAAGCCCATAGCAAATTCAAACCGGCAAGCAAGAGATTGTAAGCAGTTTATAATCTGCTATGCTGTGAAGAGTAGGATAAAAACTAACAAAATTTTTTGACCTTTAATTTTTTCCATCGTCACTCTATGAAGGAAAACCTGTCCCGATTTTGATGCCAGTCTAACCAGTTCCAAACCTTCGTTTGGCCATCTTAGGCTGTTCAACGCGAAATAAAATTCTTTATGTCCACTCCTTCCCCCACCTAATTTTTCCTTTTTGGTCAACGCCGCTCTTGTATTGAAGCGCTGCGCTGCTGTATAGTATCACTGGACGTGGACCCCTTCAGAGGTTCTTAAGGATGTCACGCATGGGTTGAAGCATTGCATGACATCCTGATGGGGCTGTTAATCCTCATTGCACCGTAATGTTTAGAAGGAGCTGGCTTCAAAGTAAGTGCCTTCCGTTAGAGGCCGTGTAAGGGTTTTCGCTCTCTCTGAAAAAAGATTTTCTAAATGCGCAATTCACCTGCTGGGCTCTTAGGGGAGAAATAAAGGAGAAATATGGCCCTTAGAGTAAGAAGAGGTGTAACTATATCAACAAATGTGCTCAGTTGGTTTTAATTAGGTGTGAGAACAAACTAAAATAGTCTCGGATTTCTCTCCTATCAAACGCAGTACCCTGTCAAAATCGGATCATTTAACTCTACACTGATCTCTTTGGCTTTGTGCTTATACACTTTCAATTATGACTATTTTTTGCGTGTGAGAATCGAAAATTTGATGCAATTTCCAAGGCAGCAAGGTGGGTAGATATTTGTTATGTGTCTCGATTGTCTCAGTTAGTAGTTAGAGCGGCTTTATCAAAGGTCTTGCGACAAATAAAAGACGAAAATTAAACAAAATTTCGCCCTCAGACATCCATTTGCTTACTCCTTGAAAACTGCGAAGCTTTCCCATGGACAAAAACATTCGAAGACGCCGTTGTTCTTAGTGCTGGGTTTAAAGTAGTCTTTGCATGCAAGGAAATCTGTAAGTTTACTTTCTGTCGTTTTGCCGGAGTGAGGGTGTAATGTTGATAGTGGATTGTCTTGGGTTTTGTTTTCTCTGTACACAGGCCTGTCAAATTCGCAGATAAATTAGCATACGATTGAGTCAAGACATTCTTTTACAACATCCACTGGGTTGTTTAGCAAACGCTCAATCCAATTGTCTGATAACATTTCGGAAATTTAGAAGCCAAAATATCGTGTTTCTCTCTTTTTATGCTGTGTGCCAGTCGTAAGCAGTTCATAACACCATTCTGTGGTAAGTTTTGGACGGTTCGGTTAATTTTTGGTGTTAAAAGACTCTAGCATGACTTGCTTGGCTTGTGTTTGCAAACATCGAGAGCCCGAATTAATGCTCGATGTAACTGGGTAGTAACTTTGTTTAAGACGAGTTCTGCAAAAGCTTAGGGTAATCTTTTAAAAATATATAACAATGAATGACTTCATGTGCAGATGTCATCGATTTTTTACCATTACATTCTGATCAATCGATTTGGTTATCGAATACAGTAAGTGCACGCTTAAGAAAACAACGGAATTCCGGCTGTTCTATCGCGACACCGTTCGTGACTTGATTTTGTCGTAGAGTACTTCGAAAGTTGCATTGAGGCCTGAAGGGAAATCGAGAAGCATCTGACAACCTCATTAACACTTTCAACATTTTTCGTGGGCCTCCACATCACTATCCAAGCCGAACTGTTTATTTTTCCAGCGCAATTGGCGTGTTAAATTTCGTCTCTGTTGTCTCACAGAAAAAAACATCAAATCTGATCTTGTTAGAATAATTTCCTGGTCGTTAGAAATGTTTATTTTTTCCTTATTAACTGGATTGCTCTCTACCTATTATTCTTTTTTTCCAAACAAGAACAAATTTTTTTTGCTTCATGTCATAGGTTGGCAAAAAAATGCCTGCAATGAAATAAGATTATTTGTCTTAGAATTGGTAACTTGAGTCTCATTTTGTCACCAACTTATCGAAAGTTGAACTAGATATAATGCAACGGATTTTTTTATATCACCCTGAGGACTGAGATCTTTTTCTCAGGACCATAAAATCCCTTAGAAACCTAATATTTACGATTACTCGCTTCCCTACAAACTTCTTGAAAGGAATATGATTGATTTAGTTAAAAATACTTCTCCAAATAAAAAACTGAACTATTACAAGAAAAGAGAGCTCAAAAATGCAGGGATCGCAGCGTAGTTTTCACTTTTAATGGTGAACGGGATATTATGCTAGACAATTGTTCACGCACCTAGAAATTCACTATATTTTTGTGAGTAAATAAGGAAAATCTTTTTGGCACAATATAGCGTAACTTCCTCACGAGATAGGCATTTGCAGTTATTTCGGGGAAATCTTAATTCTTTGTGAACCAAACAGGTTTTAAAACACGTCTTATCATGTTTCAGATTATCCGTTAAATACAGTGGATCATGAATCTTAAGTCAACAATGGATTGAGCGAGGTAAGTCAAAATAATTAAATGTTTATCGAAATAATGCGCAATTTTACCTGGTAAATTAATCTTTGAAGCGAAAGTATACCATGTGTGTTTGATTCAAAGCGAAAAACAGCCTGATCCAGAATTTAAACCATTGGGCATTCAGAGTTCCGAAAAATATATTTGTGCGCATTGTGAGATTCAATTGTACCAAGAGGACCCCATTTTGAGAAAACAGTAGATTAAGTTCAAGTCTTCCCTCCACGACACCAAATGAGAAAGTTTCATTTTGATTCATGAAACCTTTATGCGAACCGTGTAAAGGTTTGCCGGTTTCCGTTTGCGAACAAGAATTTTACTTTATAAAACGTTTTCTCTTATAGTTCTACCCAAAACAGTCAAATTCATAAGGTTGCTGATTAATCACTTTGCTCGATTTCATGTTTTATCGTAAATTCCTATTGCGCTATTTAATAGACTTTATAGCAAGCCTGAATACGTGGACACTATCAGGAACCCTGCAAGTTGTCTGCTCAGTAAAATTTCGACCGTTTTCTACGCTACACAACGTCTATGAACCGCATAGTGAGCGGTTGATTATTCCGAGTATGACAGATATACAGACTAGCGCTACTCAAGTTGTTACTGGTGTTACTTGTTCGATACGTCCGAAGGCTTAGTGTAATCAATGAAGAAAATGCCTTTGAATTCACAAACTGATATTTTTGGAAAAAATCGCTTTTTTCTCAGACCATTTTGGGAAGTGTTTCTCGTCTTTTTCAAGCTACATGACTTATTATTGATTTTATTCTTGGTTGCCTTGACAAAAGATTCCTGCAAAATTTGTTTGACATCGAAAAGTTAAAGCTGCTGAAAGGTGTTCTTTTCGCCAGCTTCTCGTTTGCGTCTAAGCGTCTCAGCGTGTTCTGGGATCATGTGTACTCTTAAAGATCTTGATTCCTCTTCGAGTTTTGAAGAGATGTCTCAGTTGCCAAGTAAAGCGCTTGACTGGTTTCACGCTCCTTAACTGCGTCTATTTCTATACCAATCAGGCAAGCTTTACATCACCGAGATGTGTATAGTCACTATATGATTACAACTGTTTTAAACAGATTATCTAAGATTAAAATTGTTAGGAAGTAATTGATGACGCAATCGATTATACGCAATGTTAGCCAGTCATCTTTTGTGGACAAGGGAGTCATCTTCAAAGAAATGTCGCAAGACTTTTATTTGATAATGCTTCGTTTTCATAAACCAAACGTCACTGTTTTGAAGGGCGTGAAAAAAGTGTTGAATAGACGGCTGATTTAGCCCCCACAAAAAATGACAGGTGTAAGCAAAGATTAAAAAATCTTTTCATTCAAAATGAAAATGTGGACATCGTTAAGGTAAATATACATGACATTTGTTAGTTTACAAACCAAGAACTGCCGTTTTGATCAAAATTCAGGGGCGAAACTTACAGTTTAGGCCTTAGAGTGCTGCCTTTTCAATGGAGTTGGCGTTTTCGGTCATAGACTTAATATTGAAATCGAGAAAATTCTTCATTTACACCATCTTGTGAATTGTGTATCTTGCTATCGAGTCATTCTGATGTTACACAATTCTGTCTGATTGACAACGCTTTCATGCTATTAACGCTTATCTGTACCTGATTAATTGCTCTGCTACGAGGAGTCGCAAAGGTGGTCGTGAAAGCTTGGAGCTCTGAACTTGTTTAGGAAAACGAAAACCTGAAGTACCCACCATGAATAGGAGAAATCTGTGCTCTAGGACTTGTCCATGGACAAGGGCTAGAAGACAATAAATTCTCTCACTTAACAAACCAGTCTTTTAGAGTCTCGGATATAAATTTACTTGGGGTTATTAACGTAATAGTTAAATACTACTTTTATCGCATTTTAACTTCAGGCTTAAAGTTTTGTGCGTAGTTAGAAATCGACCCAAGGATAGCGTCAGGGAACCTGATATGATTTTAGAAGATCAGGGCCGAGACGCCACTGTGACAAAAAAAGTCTTAAGTGCACATTGACGATCAGAGTAAATAGCCGACCCCCAGGGAGAGACTGGAATCAGTGGTTGAATTCGAGAGCCAAGCAAAACAAAACCTGAAATTTAAATAAGACATAACCAAGGTCAGTGAGAAATACTTGTCTCCTGACCACAAATCGAATGTAATCACGCATTTAAAGGTGTAGCAAAACTTGGCAGTTATTAACGCCAGTTTTAAGTTAACCCCTTTCACCCAAACATTAGTATGCATGTTTTCCTCTTTTTTCTCTGCACCTTTCCGGTGGCTGATGTTGGGGTGAAAAGGGTTAAATTAAAACTGGCGTTAATAACTGCCAAGTTTTGCTGCAACTTTAAATGCGTGATTACATTCGATTCGTGGTCAAGAGAAAAGTATTTCTCACTTACAAAGGAGACTTTGACAAAAATCGAGAGCTTCTTTAGTTAGGAATCACGTCCTTCATTCTCATGACCTTAACGTTTGATTCAGAGGTGATACTGGTAGGGAGAAATTAGATTGAAGTCACACTTAATAGAAGGTTAAACAATGGCGGCCGAGTGGTCTACAGAACTGCTCTATATTTTTGAGACGACTTTCTTTTTTCGATGAAAATACGATAGGAAAACAATCGTCCGATAGTGTCCAGTTTCTCTAGCCATATGCCCTGCTAAGAATAGGGAGCCGGACTCCCTCTGAAAAATGACTCGGATGTACGTTGCAAATTTGGAAATTACTCAGCTAAATTACCATGATTTTTATTGACAAAGCGAGGCAAAAATTTTGATAAGGACCTTTTGCAAACCACGAAGTCGACGGCGATGAGGAATTGGCGAAAGAAAAGATTCCACCATCAGAACAATAGCTCTACACGTGCGTTTTAAAGCTCTGTTCATTTCCTTGACGTCTTCAGTAGAACAACAACGTAACAACCATTTTTTTTTCCGGGCCTGCGGCTGGGAACCTCGACGGCGAATTTTATCTGTTTGAAACCCGACACTGCCCACATATGTCATGCTAAAGTTGAGGTAGGACGGGTAAATACATCCAGCCAATCATAAAATTCTTATAAATTTTTTTTTGTTGTTAAACAAAGCGTTCCTTGGCGTAGGGCCTAATAACTGGGATGCCTGTGGTAGCCCAGTCATAAAATACCTTTGTTGTTTAAGATCTATATCGTAAAATAGGTAGTGGTTTGTCATTGTGGTTAATAACACTTTCAAAAGTGAAGTCGTCTCAAAGTATTATTGTGTGTCTCACGATGCGGTCACTTCGACTATAGGTCGCGATGTTTCGACTGCAAACTGCTAGTCTTCCTTAGGCGATGAGGTCGATTGAGTATGCGTTAATTGTTGTGACGAGTACTCAATCACTTACTTGTGCTGCGCAAAATTAAGCGGCGATATTACGGCGTTATTGTTTTGCATAGACCAGGAAATTAACAAATTCACCGACACTGAGGTGATTGGTCGTTTTAGTCATAAACTAAAACAGTGAGATAATGTAGCAAAAAAGATGATTCAACTCATTTATTCCCTATCGATTACAGTATTATTCGGCGCAGATCCCGCGCGAGTTGCTAGGAGGTGAATAGCTAAGGATGGTCGGACTGTGAGTAGTTAATCAGAGCGCGCCTTCAACGCTATCAGAAGCTTACGACCTTTGACACTATCCACTGTTTTAGTGTATACTAAAGCCAGATAGAGCAAACTGGAGCTTCTTGGGAAAAGATTGCGAGAACCTTTTTTCATAGAAAAGGGATACATTTAACGCGAAACCTGATCTTGAAAGCCAAGCACGTACCTTTTCGATATCGACCAAGATGACACTTTGATAACAAAACGTAAGCTATTTTTTTTTTTGCCTTCACCAAACGCAACAAACAGCGGAGCTCAAAGTTAAAAGTTGAAAGGTTACAACTACTTTGACCTTTCCGACGTGTGTTCGTGTCTATGCTTAATTTGAAGCTATAAGATATTCCTGGAATAGAATTTAATAGTTGTTGACTGTTCAAAATACGAAAGCAATATATTACTTTCACTATTTGCACTGTGTTGTGTCAAAAAAATTAAATTATGTGTTTCAAAAGAATAAAATTATGGGAAAGCACTTCTTAAAATACTTTCACCCCACTCTGTCTTTTTTTCTGTTCGTTTTATTAGGTTTAGTTGCGATCACGCTCGATGGATGGATTCAAAATTTGGAAAGTTCCGAATTAGGCAAAAACCAGAGGAGACACACCAAACACTGTATTTGTGTTTCTAATTGCGTCGGCAAACAGGACTACTAACGAAAATTAAACACTGCGCGGCAGCTGTTTAGGAAATGAAAAAGATTTTGTAATCCGCAAATATAAACACGCATAAAAATATTAAAATTATCTCTCTTATTGCATAGATTGAGTGGGTTAGTTTATTACTTTCATTGAGCTGTCAATATCCGCAGGGAGTTCGAGTGATTTTGATATTGTTTTTTCCTGATTCTGTGCAGAAGTTTGAGATGAAGATCTGAGCGTAAGCTATTGATAACCGTGTTCCGGTTTGGTATACTTTATGTAGTACAGTCTCTGTACATAAATTCAACAAAGAAATTCTGTTCAGGGGCAAAGCTGTACTACCCCACAAGGTACGTTACAAACAACACTTCTGTTTTACTTTTCAATCAATATCATGCTGAGCATTTTAAACTCAGAAATATTCATTCCGCGAAGTAACAAAAGAAGAAAAGAAGATGAGTCAGTTTTGCTTCTATTATAAGTTTTATTCGGAACGATTTTTAGTTGGCCTGAAAAATAACACGGGTCATTCCGATTTCATCTCGACACAAACTTAGACACGTTCCTTTCACTTACTGAAGAACATCAATACCCGAAACAATTAAATATGATCAATCTGCTAGTTACTCGTAACAAGAAAGTAATGATATTGGTCTTTGTATCCTTTAAAAGTATCCCTTTCTAACTTTCAACTAATAATTTCTGCTGTGACCGCAGAATCACAATACAGCGTATTTTTTTTTCTTCAAGATACCATTTCAGATGTCACGGTTCTTATTTGATTTCAGCAAGCTTACTGACATAAATTCAACCACATAGCTAAAGCTTATAACACATTGTTACAAAACAAAAAACTCTGATGATCACAGTGCGACCTAATTCTCTTTTGCTGATTTTTTTTATATATAGATGTCAACTTTCCTTCCTATCTTTGTGTTATTATAACTTCTCTACCAAAGCTTTTAATGCTGTTTTCTGTTCTTTTTTCCATTCCAAAATATACATGCAAGCGCAGTTTTGTCCGACTATGTCACTTTGATAGAATGTGATAAAATCTATTTTTAGTCTAGTTTAGTAAAAGTCAAGCAATTAAAGGCCCCATACACTTTTTCCTAAGATGATAGATTTACGTCTCTTTTTAGCAATTTCGAATTTGTGGTTGTTTGTGGTCAGCAGTACAAGGCCAAAATTGAAAACCTTTTACGTAAAAAAGCAGCCCTCAAAAGAATTAGACAATATGCAGGTGTTTTTTCATGGTTCATCGCTAGAGCCGACAAGGTACGAGAAGACGTGACTCCTCTCAGCCGTGTAAGTCATGTTGTATTCATCTGTAACTAACAGAGCTTTAGATTTAAGGTTAGCGATATGCCGTAACCACAAAATATGATATAGTGAACAAACAAAATAGACAAGACGACTAATATTCCTGTTTGCTGAGCTTTTTCGTGAAGAAAAACTCGTTTTTCTCTCGATCTTTTGATAACCTATTGGATGGTTATTCGGTGTGACCATATTTTTAGCACTGGAAATAATCGTTACTATCCTACAATCATCATGTTAATATTGGTTTTGGAAATATCAATTGTTGAATTCCGACGCAAAACTAGGACGAACAAGGTATTGAAAGAAACGTTTTCATTGATATAAAGAAGCTCTTCGAGCACATATCGAAATTACATACGGCAATCAAATGACAGTATCATACAAAAGCATGTTGAGAACTTCAAAGTAAAAACAGGTTACTGAAAATGAAGAGACTTACAAACTAAAAGTTTTGCGAAGGAATTGAGCTTGTGCTGTTAATCACACAGCTGTTTGGGAATAAATGTAAAAATAATTGAATTTACAGTGAAAGAGGTAAATTCTTCAGCTTTTCGTCTGGATTCAGGAAAAGTTCAGAAATGAAATATTCTAAGCCAGAGGTAATTTTCCGCTCGCGTTTTCAGCCAGCGTCTTTTCCTAAATGCCAGGCACTTAAATGTAATATCATGTGCTCCATGTAAGACATTGATTTAAGAAAGAAAAAGTTGCCAACTATGTTTGACGTAGGAACAGGCTGAAAATTGATTTGGCCAAAAAGTAAAAGTGATTAATTTCTATCTGCAACTGAGATAACTAAAGTCGAGCATTATCTGCTGGCAGTCTTACAACATGTACAAAGAGTTTCATCTTCGCTCTTTCAAACAAGAGAAAAACTATTGTTAACTATGAAGTAAATGTAAGGGCTTCCATCAAACATCAAGAGTCCACAATTACGCCTTTTAACACGCCACTATCGGGGTTTCAATTATAACCGGTTATCAGCGGTGTACCGCCGTCTGGGAGACCTCTTACCGCCCGTCTGTGTTTGTTTGTTTGTTTCGTCTTACGACCCCTTTTCCATTTAACCATCGGCAGACTCTTAAGGAAAAATTATTAAAACACCTGCTCTATGACAAAACTTTGTTTTCTTGATTATGACTGAATCACTGATCAAGGTTTTTTGAGGCAAAAAAAGCAATAGGTGAATTACGGCAGGACGTGGGTTACAAGTTATGGTTCAGTGGATATTCCAGAAAGTTATTCTTTAAAAAGTGTTACCAGCGTCGGATAAGAATTTAAGAATTTTTTTTTGTGTATAAAGATTCGACATAAAATTTACTTTCTTCTAACTCATCATCATTTCTATTTTCATGATGTCATCAATCCATGCTGCTCTTGTCGCTTTTAATCAAACCCGCGCCTGTGACTTAATTTAAGGAAAGTGGGAGTATTTTGATGCATTAAGTCTTCTTCTCATCTTTCTTCTTCTTTAACCATCTTTGCTCTAACTGTTCGCATTTGAAATTTAGCTTTGGGCAAAATGAATGAATCACAGTTTCATGGCAGAGCTCTCCGTCATCAAAACAGAAAGCAAATCAACATAAGTAAAGGGCGTTGGCGCTACGTCGGTGTGTGGTATTACAACAGAAAGGGTTTCCGGAGCTGACGTTTCAAGCGTTAGTCCTTCGTCAGAGCGAATGACAAAGACCAATTAACATTATCTACTCATTTGAACAAACAAATTTCCAAGTAACAATAGGTATCTTTTTTCCTCCTCAAAACGCTTTTTATCACAATGGCGGAAAGAGCGTCTTGAAATACACTGTGGATCAGCTAATCACTGTATTTGCGGGAAATTTAAATATTCGGGAAGATAGAGAGACGAGGAGGCAGAATCTCCCGCACTGTAAACAGCCCTCTGAAATACTGGTGAAATCAGTGTATTTTTGTAATTGCCAAAGTGTTCTTTGACCCACGCTCTTTGTTAAGAAATACCACATCTTTTTTTAGTTCAGCCATTAATAGGAATAATTAGCAAAACAAAGTGAACGCCTAAAATCGTTCTTGTGAATCGAGGTAACAAATTTGACGCAATGTTGTGGTTCATCTCTTTTGATGAGCGCTTTGCGTTCGTTGTGAAACAGCAATGGCTTCTTCAGTGTGAAATAATTTTGTTGTCGTTAAATTTCGTTTATTCCCTTTCTCCATCCTCGCACCGAGAAAATTGTATCATAATGGACCAAAATGTAAGTGTTATTGTTGCTTATTTATTTGCGTGTACTGAGACAGAATGCGCGGGTCCACAACCTTCGTTTTCGACTGATGCGCTCGACTGAGAACCACGAGACAAAACAAAAGATAACAACAGAATTAGGAATGCTACAAGCTATGAAAATTGCAAGCCTTTTTTAGATGACAGTGGTTTCGCAAAAATTGCGTAATCTGTGGGATGAGGGACGAACATTCGAGGAATATCTTACGGAATTGCCAGGCGCTTACGAAATGAAACGCTTCTTATGAACGGATTCTTCGCAAAAAAGTCTGAACAAGATCTTAGAACTGATAGAGAAGTAACACATTCAATTTGTTTTGCTTGCCAGGAGCTTGTTTGGAAAGAAATTGCGTCACAGATTTCACTTGCAGACTTCACTTCACGTAAACAAACTGAGGTAAATTTCTTTGAGGGGCATCTGTAACTCGTTAGGATTCAGTTTTTTCCATGACGAACGCTCTTTAGAGAACCCAGTCATTTCTTTGAATAATGATTCTCGCTCTATTGATAATTCAAAACAGTAGCACAGTGTAATTGAGCTAACAGACATAAAGATTTCCCGCTGATGCAGGCAAAGAGATTGTAACTACGTAATTTAGATAAAGAAGTAAGTTTCTAAAGAAACATGATTTCAATGCTTTGGATTGCCTAAAACAATTTTTTTCACTCGAAAAATATGCCCGTCAGCATTACAAAACTCTGCCTGATCACGTTCTCCTTCACTAATAGCTTTTGATCAGAATGGACAATTGCTTGGAGTGTTTTCGATGTCAGTCGTCATATTTGCTAAGGAACATTGGAAAATGAAATTAATTCTATGTTTCTATATTTCTTAAGCATCATAGCACCCGGTTAGTTTGAGAGAAGTCTAGCTTAGGTCCATAATGTTAATGGATAGATGTAAATCATTTGTATTGCCTCAGAATCTAACGCCTTAAAACTTTAACGCGTTTGCTGAGATAACCAACATTAAAAGGGTCAAAATAAACAAAAAGGGAACAAGGATGGCGTTAAGAAACACGAGCTGCAAAGGAAAAACTTAAAAAATCTTAAGTGGAGCTAAATTTACCAACCGTGAAGTAGCATCCAGGATGAGAGAACTCATGAACTGTTTCAAGTTATGTTCCCGTTTCTTTTCATAATTTTTTTCTTTTCCGGTTTTTCAAACGTTAAGAAAAGGTAACGTAGAATTCCATGAGGGGTATTAAGCCACTAACAGTTCTCGTGGGAGAAAACGTGATTCTGTCCTGTCCATTTTCCGTACCGCTGGCAAGAAGCCATTAGAATTAATACCGACAACGTTTTATGCTCGCACAATACAACAAAAAGTTAAGAAAACATTGGTGTCAATTATTGCTTTAAGATAACTTTTTCATACTTTTAAATATAGACGGGGTTTTTCTTTTTTATGTGAGATTCTTGGACGGAATAACAAAAGCCGTGAAAACTGAACTTTGTGCCTTCGGCAGTTATAAGTACACGTGAAAGCGCATTGAAGCTAAGCTAGAACATTCGCAAAACAGATTGACTGACAGGTTAATGGTTTGTTTACTTGTTTGTTCGTTTTATCAATCGAGGGGATAAAAATCAGTGCTGGATTTACTCGATCCATTGAACCAGCGAATCAGGGAGTTCACGTTGCCCGGTGGTAGTGGTTGCCCACAAAAAAACCGCCAGCTACGCAAGCTAACCACGCGTCAAACTATTTTTGCTGAATGAAAACTGTTAACTAAATATAACTGAAAAGACGTGCGTAGATCAAGGATACAACAAGTCACGCCTGTTTCTGATTTAATGTCAAACAGAGAGTTAAAAAGTAGGGTTCCGTGTCAAGTCTTCTTTGGCAACCTGGACTGTCATCGACTGTGATCCATGGAGCGATTAACATGGCGTTAAGTTGTTCACCGACTGAATAACCTCGCAATTAATTGCCCGGGAGTTGATTGACTGACTGATCAATTGGCAGATTGATCGATTGACTGATTCATTCATTCATTAGTCAACCGATCGACTTCACATTTGATACCTTCTTTCTTATTCAGTCTTTAGCTATCAACTTGTCCAGCAATGGCCGAAAATAATACGTCCTGGAACCACACTAACAACACAAATGGCAATGGTCCTGCGCCACCAGGCCCTCCAATGCAAGAGATGACCGCAGAAGATGTTGCCGCTAATGTTTTCTTTTGTATCTTGGCCGTCATGATAGTCTTTGGTAACGCTCTTGTGATTGGTGCATTCCGAGTGAATAGGAGACTGCGCACAACCACTAATCTGCTGTTGATGTCGTTGGCAGTGGCGGACATGCTTATTGGATCAATTTCAGTGCCATTGTGGGTGTACATATCGATAACTTACAGTGTTAGAGGAAATCTTTACAAGTTTTATATGATCTTCGACGCTATTTGTGGGGTGTCGTCGATTCTGAATCTCACAGCCATAAGTTTGGAGAGATCTTATGCCTTGCTAAGTCCAATAAGTCACCGGAACATCAGCAAACGTAAGTACCTTGAGATTACAGTTAGGAACTAACCAAATCCAAACTGAAGCTCTAGAAATGTTGCTGCAAAAGTTTTCATAGGAAGTACAAAAGCCTAATTTCAGTTCTGGTAAATGGTTTAGCCTAGCCTTCAAATTTTTCATTCCAAAAAAAAGAAGGCTTAGCACACTTTCATATTCTTTTATTCTGTTTCGGTTACCTCTTCTGAAGTTCAATCGTTCTAAATTAGCAAAATTTTTCTTATTTTTGAGTCAAACAAACGTTCATTGTTTGCGTTAACTTCACTTTCAGAAATTGTTACCATGAAGTGTTACCGCACGCGAATAAACGACACCTCGCATGAACAATAAAAGAGTCTATGTAATCTTGAAAGGAGCGAGTTATATTTAAGTAATTTTCTCCGAGTTGTGAGTAAGATTTCTTCAATGTAATCGTTATTTGTTGAAACGCCGCAACTAGAGAACAAATGACGAAAAATCCTGAACCTTCTCTGACCTTTCCGTTCATCTGCTTACAGGTTGGATCTTGGCCATCATCTTTTTTGCCTGGGCTTTAGCGATATTTGCTGGTTTGATGTCAGAAATAAAGGCTTTAAAGAAATTTTTAGGTATCATTGTAACAGCAGTATTCTTTTTTGTACCCCTGGCTATTATTCTGGGAGCCTATGGAACCATCTTTCACATAGCCAGAGCGCATGCCCGTGGAGTTGGGAAAAGCTCTTTTAAAAAGGTAATGGGATTTCTGTATTTTATTATTTTTTTATTAAATCAAAAGCGAAGTTGGCTCTGAGCAGCCATATTCCTTTTTGCAGCTTTGATTGAAAAAACAAAAACTTCGTTTTAGTGCCAAAATGAAAGGGCACGGATTTTATTTTACAGTTTTTAGCGTCAAACCCAAAAATGAACGATATTTTTCGTCGGTTATATGCAATGCCTCAACGTTTAAATTGGGAGAAACATCTTTTCAAATTTGTAAAGCTTTGTCTATCTTCAAAAAGAAATTGGGTTAAGAAGTGCCTGTGCGAGCTGAATTTCCCACTGCTATTTTTTATTGGTCTTGATTTGTTCTTAATGTTTCACATCACAACTTATTAACAAATACAAAGGGTCAGAGGCTCGTTTTTCTATAGTTTCCTCCCCTTAACAGTATTTGGCCTCTTTTACAGAGTTCAGCTTGGAAAGGTAATTTTTCTCTCTTTAACTCTTAATAGATAGATGTTTTAATTCTTGATAGATAATGAAGAAATAAGTAGTGTGGAACAAATCTTTCAAATGTGCAATTTCGTTTTCCACCACTAAGGGATCGAGTAATTACGTTCAATGGCTGTTACTGCTAAATGATCAAGTCAAATTTGAGAAGAGGTTGCCGCTTCCCCCAGCTCAAATAAATCAGGGGAGCACCCTCTCCTGAAGTTTTGGAACGGAGGGGACGAATGTACAAAGGGAGCACAATCGAAACTTGTGTGGGATTATCATTCCTGAAATTAAGGAAGAAAGAGAAAAAAAGACAAAGTATTTCTATTTTTTGATCTGCGAAAATGCAGTCCTATGCAACGATTACTCAGTTGCCAGAAAAATTACTTTAACCTGTTGACCTGATGTTTAACCAAACTGTAGAGTAATCTAGAACTGCAATCTTGGTAGCCAAGTAATTTCATTTTGCCTTATTTTTAGGATCTGCGTATCGCTACAACTGTCGCTGTGGTCATCGGCCTTTTTGTCATTTGCTGGACGCCATTTTTCGCGCTCAATTTTGCGTATTCAGTTTGTGGCATCATAATGTTCAAAACAGCTGGATGCAAAGGCCTCCTGGTACTACCACAAATTATTCTAAACATCAATAAATGGTTACAATATGGAAATTCCGTTTGTAACCCCATAATCTATGGTCTACGCAATAAAGACTTCCGACGAGCGTTCCGAAAAATTTTACTGAGTCTTTGCTGCAAAAAGGTCCCGATATCAGACTACAGTAAGAGCGCGTATGGACGCACTGTGCGAAGCACCTATCTTCAGCGCGACTCAAGCATTGAAAACTCACGATCTGTCATCGTACCACCGCACACAAACGGCTCGGGAATGTTTGATACAAGAGGAAGCTACCGTAGAGCGATTCAGAGTGGTCGCACTAAACCTATCAAGCTCAAATTCACAAAGAAGACTCTAACAGATGGTTTGTTGTCGTTAAACGTGGATGCATTCCACAGCCTTTCTTCTGGCGACTTAACTTTGTCTGGCACCCTTTTGAGCACTCCATCAAGTTCCCCAGCTGAGCTTTGTAACCCCGCCTTCGAGGAAGATCAGACGGAAAATGGTATCCTTCCGATTGACCAAGCCAAGCCACAACGGGGCTTCGATGAAAAGCTGTCAGGATCGAATCATTCTTTAAATAAAAGTGCTCCAAACGGTACCCTGAAGAATAGAAAAACCCGTGTTCATTTTACACCTTCGGACAGTGATGAAAAGGACGAGGTTGAAAACCAAACCGTGTCTACCCTGGCACCTTTTGAAAGACAACGTTCTCTCTCAGAAATATTCGTTCGACCCAATGGTGAAACAGACAGTCTTAAGCGAAAATTACGGTCATCGTTTTCTTAGTAAGGCTATCAGTGTTGGCTTTAAGAAGCATTTGTTTTAGCCGGCAAACCAGTTGGCCATGATTCATGCTGGTGATTGGCAACAAATTTAGCGGCAATTACTGTGACTGGCGGCTGGAAGTCTAGTTAACTAAGTCTCGGTTTTTGTTCCAGAATACGTTTACAACTATCATGCGTAATCATGAATTCCCAGATGTATATCTAAAAAGGGCTAAGTCCAGGTTTAGCTGAGGACAGTTTTCTGTATATAATCTTCGTGAAGAGCTCACTCCATCTCACAGGATGCAAAGCTGAGACTGGATAAGAGATTGAGCAACAAAATTTGCAATCCCTGAAGATCACTTAGTCCCCGTTCATTGATGAAGTAAGAGATTCTATTATCACGAACTAAACTTTCCATAAAAAGAATAATTTTAAAGAAGCTGTATATAAGAACTGAAAGTTTTGCTTCATGTAGGACTGGACCATGCTCGCTATTATTTTTAGTATTTTTGTTTAAACCCGCCCAGTTCAACCCTTTGTGACTTTGTCTTTCATCAGAGACATAAAGTAAATACACATGTGAAGAATGAGAGCAACTTTCAAACGCTCTCAGCGGTTAGATGTAAATTTTATGATTCTCGACGCGTTTAAGTTTAAGGTGTTATTTGGATGATTTTATTTTGTAGCAAGAAGGCAATAGAACGAATGGATCAGGTAAATGTTGTTATGTGAATATTGATAAGAAATTAACCCCTTAACTCCCATGAGTGACCAAGACAGAATTTCTCCTAACAATGTCAGTACAGTATCAAGCAGAAAAGTTATGAGAATAAAGAAAATATCAATTAGGGGATTATCGGAACCAACATTATAAGAATTGTATGGCAGACAGCGACTGAGAATTTTTAACGAGATCTGGGAGTGAAATTAAAAAATTCCTGATTCACAGAATCAGCATCATACGAATTGTATGGCAGATAGCGACTGAGAATTTATAATGAGATCTGGGAGTGAAAAGGTTAAAAGCAGTGTTTCTAACACTTAAAAGTAGTTACAGTGTATGAAAGAAAGTAGGCCATTGTACAGGTGCAACTAAAACTTGTAAGTTCCCAATTCTGTAACAAAATTTCGCTCAAGAGAGTCCACGATATATCGCCTTTTTTCGAGTCACTTTTCAACTCTACGAGGTTTGCCATTTTACCATTGTGAATTATAGCCTCTTGGAGTAAAAGATCATCACAAAGAAATATTTATATTACCTTGTTGCAGTCAAGTTTACTCAAGTCTCCATTTGCCACCAAAGACTTTTTGATCACATTTCCCCTTTTATTACCTCACCTTTGACTCTTTCGGATTTCTTTAAACAGTTACACTTAGATAGGACTCTTTCCTTCCCGAAAGGAATTTCAAAATCTCCTGTCTTGGATTTGAGGGAACCGGAAAAAGCCCCGTAAAAGTTTCCGTAAATCAAGAGTTATGTTCTGCACTTCTGTTTGTTTCTGAGAATATGGAAATTTTCGGATTATTCCTCAGTATGCCGCTAACAAGAGATCTCTTCGTCAACAGTTTCCTGAGCATACTAATAGCTCCCTCCAATTCAGAAACTATATGGCTGTACTTGATACACGGTAAACGGTACCAGAGCTGGTGGTTTTTTTACTTTCGATAACATCAGAGTCATGTTACCCAGACCTGGGTTACATGAATATGCTTCTGTCAACTCTTATCCGAAAATCTTCCTTAAACATTCAAGGAGTTCCAGTTTCTCTTGAAATTCTAATAGTAAATTTTGAGATTGATGATCATTCTGTCAAATTGGGCCTATTATATCAAAACAGACTGATTAGTGATGCAAATCTATTACACTCATGGCTCGTTGAATGCCCAATTGCACGCGTTTTCGAATTTGTGGAACAGTTACATCGACTCTCTTTTGTCCAAGGCCCCATCCACACCAGAGCTTTTTCGATCGAAGACACATCAGTTTTTTTCCGACGCAGTTTTGACCAGCTGCATCCACAATAGTACTCCTGGAAACGCTTATTTATAAAAAGCAGGACCTTTTGAAAACGGCTTCAGTGAAGCATGATGACAACGGTTGATTTTTAAAAGGTTCTGTTTCTTGAGAGGACAAGTGAAAACGGAGACGAAGAATACTCAACGTACTGTGATCTACTGTCGCATATGCATTTACGTCTGTCGGGTGTAAAGTCGATAGACAAAAATTTTTCAAATTTAATCGTTTTCAAAAGCATACGCAGCAGTTTGTCTCGTGTCAGAAACATAAAAAAACGTCAGTACAGTTGAAAATATTTTGCTTCGTTCGTTTTGGGACGAGGAGATGTCCGAAATTGACTCGTCACGTTACGAACTTACTTGGCCCGGTTACTCAGTTATTCCGCAGGAACTCCTGATCTCTTTTGTGCTGAAGCTGTTAGATTGTTATCTCAGTAAATAAGGGTCATTATGTCTGGCGTCAAACCTTTGCCTTCGGCTGTATTATTATATAGTGAAAGCGTCATCTTATGCACTAACGATTGTTCCTCTGAATGTAGAGACGACAGGTCCGCCATGTGGTGCCGACACTGGCGGTTCATCTTCATTTTATGATCAGAGAGAGCCGGCTGTTGGTGTGGTGTCATTTGGACATATTGCAGTCGGTTATTAACTTCAATCCGAGCCAAAAAAAAAAAAGCAAACATGGTGTGCTTTTAAAGGCATTTAGATGTGCCTTGGTCTTTGTCTGCAACGCTCCCTCCAGCTGCGATCTTTAGTAATTGTTTTGGAATCTAATTGAGAGCACGTCTTGTCGATTGAAGCAAAGTTGTCGGTATCCATCGCTGTGGGAGCCTTGCTCTGTCAAATATTTTATTTTGGAATTACCTTCACGCCTGCTCGGCCGTCAGTATGATTCGGTCATGTGTAAATTTATTTTTTACTTCAGTGGTCGACATATATCGCTGGTAAAAGAGAGTTTTATCTTCGTTACATTCAAAGGTAAATATTGATGCTCATTGTTACGTTAAAGTCAAGTTTTACAATGGTGAAGCCTTGTTTACATTCGCTTTCATTTGCATTGTTTATATCATGTGCTAACTTTTAGCAATTTATGTTGAAATAGCTTAAGTTTTTCGTTGTTTTTCATCGGCGCAAGTTTCATATTTTGCACATGTTTACAGATCTAACAAATATTCTATCGGGTATTGCGAAACAACACTTGTTCTGCTCGCAATAAATCTCTGCTTTACCACAAATTTCCATATCCATTGTCTAACAAATGTTTTGGTTAAATGATATTCCAAATTTTCCATTGTTGTGGATGGGAATGTTTTTGTAGCCTTTTGGTCTACTGTTTTAGAGACAAAATGAGTTCATACTCGTTAGACTTTTTTCAGTCCTGAACTTTGGCAGGTGACCGACAGTTATAAATATTTAATGTTTGTTAAAAACATATCTAATCCTTGCATTCTTATTCCCAGTTTTGATAGATTAGTCAGTTTAGCTAAATAAACAACAACAAAAAATGAAAAAAATAAAAACAACAAAAAAATAATTATTCTCAAAAATAAAAATAAAACAAAATTGATTGAGCAAGCTTTAGTTCAAGGATAGCCCAAATGCCAAGTTGGCAGGCCTAGTTACTTGCGCAAGAATCTTTGCATTTGTCTTCCAAACATTTCCAATTTGCCTGGCATACACAATTCCTTTTCAAGATCGAGTCTTAGATTTGAAATGAAGAATGTGAATTCAGTTAGATATTCATATTTTGCTCATCCAATTGGGTGTTATTATTTTTCACAAACCTGGGTGAGTGGTGATTCATACCCTTCCTTATATTGTTTGGCAGAGGTGACAACAATGAGTTGCTTCAATACATAAGCACTTGAACAAACCTTCAATTTACAGGCTAAGGAATCGTACATTTCCATGGAAATACATGCGGTTAACTCTGAATTAAAGCTGGATTAATATATTTTTTCCCTGGTTGTAGGGTTGGAATCAAGATATTTCAGTGTAAGATTTATATTTTAGACCCTGTGAATTGGGTGTCTAGAGACTTCATCTCCAAAAACTACATGGAACACAGTCATTTTTGCAGATGAGATGCTCGTTTTAAGAATTACTTATGCTTTACTCTTCATTACATTCAACTTGGCCAACAATGGAGTGTCAGGTAAAAATGCAATATTTATGTATTTGTATAGATAAAAACATGAGTTTGAGTGTAATTTGGTGTTAATAAGCACAAGTAAATTTTTGGAAGACAACAAAATTGCATGAGCCCATAGTAAGAGAACAATTTGTAGTCTTTGAAAAATTCACCAGTGCTTAAATGTATTTACAGGAAATTACATGAGAAATCATGTTATTACTTATTAATAATTTACATTAAGAAAGCATCACAAAAAGTCAAGACAGGCAAAGTTTTAACAGTGTGCATGCTATTTGTAATATGGCTCTGTGTGACAATTTTGCACTTGTTTTACAATTTTGCACTCCTGTTGCATGAAAAATGCACTTGTTTTCAGCCAATCAGAAGCAGCCACCAAATAATGACTAAAGAAACGTTGAGCTTGGAGCCTTGATAAACTTCATAGTATGACATTTCCCTTTAAAATACAGAACTATCCCAAAAGGAAAATAATTAGCAGGCCCCTGAATTTTTTTTAACATTGTTAATTGTTATTTAACAGGTCTTAAATGTAATTGTATTGCTTTATAACCAATGCTTTTATTTTCCTAGACCCCTCAGCTCCACACTTCATCAGAGAGTCAATGTATCATACTATGACCATGTATGCCAAGGTTGGAGATGATGTTGAACTTGATTGTTTGTCAGATGGCAATCCACATCCAGATATATCCTGGTACAAATACAATGTTCCCCTTTTGGAGATAACTTATCGCAAATTAGAGGACACATTTATAAAGTCTGGGAAGTTGCTTTTAAGTGACCTTCTGCTTGCAGATGCGGGAAACTATTCTTGCCATGTGAATAATTCCTTGGGCCTGATTAATAGGACATTCATACTACGCATTTATGGTGAGTTGGAGTATGATACAGTTAAAAGTTATAGAAGCTGAATTTCATTTCTTTGCAGTTTTGTTGTTTTTCTTTGAACACTTTGGCAAGATGCATCACTTTTCAGTTCAGTCAGAGTGTTGTAAGATGCAAAGGGAAAGAGGGAGCCAGGTTTACATTACTCATATGGAAACCACTGGTTAAATTCTGACTGATCTTTTACAGTCTTTAATTGTGAGAAATAATTTCAAAATTATGATTGTGGATATATCAAAATCATGTATGTGCACTGCAGTGAACAAATGAATATGAGATCCTTGCAGCTATGAACACTACTGAACTAGTAGTTAATATAAGACCTAAAAAAATTTTTTTCAGGCCCGATACCGGTGCAGCGCTCTACCAACTGAGCTAACAAGCCAACTGGGAGCTGGTCATTATGTTGGGTCCAAATAAACCATCCAAGTGATGAATAATGATTGTGAATATATGAAAATTTCATATTCGTTTCTTCACTGCAGTGCACATATATGATTTTCATATATCCACTATCATTATTCATCATTTGGATGGTTTATTTGGACCCAACATAATGATTAGCTCCCAGTTGGCTTGTCAGCTCAGTTGGTAGAGCGCTGCACCAGTATTGCAGAGGTTATGGGTTCAAATCCTGTATGGGCCTGAAAATTTTTTTCAGGTATTATTTCAACTACTAGTTCAGTAGTGTTCATACCTGTGAGGATCTAGTTTGAAAATTGTAACTGCTTGTGAATTCCACTGATTTGTTTGTTTTTGCTCTATGTTTTGTTGTCTTGTTTTTTTTTGTTT